CTTGCTGAGGTGGAGGGAAGAAAGACTCTAATGGCTAATTGGGTTGAGGCAGCCAGTTGGGTTAAATTTTGGGTTTTGACCATATGAGCTCTCTCGGCCATGGCGTTTTTCGGCAGCCAAGACAGCTGGTTGGCCAGGGTCAGGTCACTATTTGGTCAGAGAGATTAGGGCTTGGGTTTGATGCAGTTAATTTGGGGTTGTCACGTGTAAAGGTGTTGAATTGAAATTAGATGGGGGAAGGGTCATGTTGGGTCAATTTGGTTCAATGCATGATTTAGGATTGGGCTCACTCATCAAGGAAGGTTTGGGTGCTGAAGAAAACCAGGTGGTTCAGCTGGGTTAGCATGGTGAAGTTCCCATCCATATGGATTAGGGCTAATGGTGTGCTTAAGTGAGTCATGAGAGTGGTTAATCATGTGTAGGGGACCACTAAACCACTAAAGAGGCTCCTCCTTTTGCCCAAGATAGCATGGTGATATGAGCCCTTGACTTGCTCAATTTGCATGAGAAAGTATTTTTTGATTTATAGGGTATTTTTGTGGAGTTTGTCACGAGGATTGATTTGGTGTGATGAAATGATGAATTTCAAAGAGTATATTTTGATTTAATCAAATGGATGAGAAGAAATTTCATGCCATGTGGACATTGGATTTGAGCTTTTTGAATTAAGTGTGGTGGGCTTGGGCTTTTAACACCAGGGGTGAATTTGGGCCAAAATTTGGGTCAATTAAATGTTTAATTTGGTGCAGGGAGATGTCATGAAGAGTTTTGAAAGGATTTCAAGTGATTTTGAGTTAAATTGGAAGACTAATTTGGGGGATTTGGACATAGGGTCAAAATTGGGGTTTTTTTTATTTAGGTTTAAATTGGGCTTGCAATTGGATCAAATTGGGCTTGTATTTGGTTTCAATTGGTATTAGGGACGTTGAATTTTAGTTTGGAATTGAAATTGGGCAAGATTGGGGTCAATTGAGCCAAGATTGAGGCTAATTTAGGGAATTGGGCCTTTAAGGTAATTTGGGGTTTTTGGTCAAAATTGATCAATTTGGTCAAATTGGGTCAATGTGATGGTTCAAAATTGAAATTGGGAATATTTGGGATGATTTTGGAATTTTTGGAATTTTTTGAAAATTTTGGGTCATGAGGGGTATTTTAGTAATTTTGGTGAATTTTGGTCAATTTAGGTAGTGGGGAATGGTTTGAAAATGACTTTTGGATAAATTTGTTGTTTTGGGCAATTTTGGGATTTTTAGACAAATATTAGGGTTGTAGGGATATTTTTGGTAATTTTAATGAAAGTTTGGGCTAAACTGGATAGGTAAGCCATGAAGCCATGTCAAACCAATAGGAGCCATATGAAGACTCACCATATGAATAGGAGCCATATGAAGACTCATTTTGGATGCTTAATATGCTGGTCCTAACCTTCTTAGCCAAGGGCTAGGGGTTTGTGTCCACCCATATGAGCTTTCCAAAAGTAATCAGGAGACCAAATCAAGGGGTTCTAGTGTTTGGGGTGTGTGAGAAAGTGTAGTGCGTGCAAGCTAGCCTAACAAAGACCAGACCACCAGGTTAGTCCTAAGGCTTAACCATTCTATGGGAGGCTCCTCTTGAGCTTCTCCATACTGACCTCACCTATTAAGTGCTAGAGGTTAGGACCAACATGTGGAACTTTAAGTTGAGCAAAGAAGAGTTTATAATTTATAATGGTGAATGTTCCTTTTCTAATCCTCTCGGAATAGTCAACAGGAAAGTCTTATGGCTAGACCCTAGGCTACTAAGGAGGAAACTAGATCTCAACCAAAAGTGAGGTCAACATGCACTGACATTGCTTTTTAAATGTCACGCCGAAGAATGCTACTTTGATCACTTCACTGGCAACAGGTGGGTCATCGATGTGAATGTTACTCGGGTTGTTTTTCATCTTACTTTGGGAGGTTATTAAAAAAATGATTTTCTATACTTAATTAAGCTATTTTTATTTTTTTTATTCAAAAAACTATGTCAGTGCATTAATTCTTTATTTTTCTATGCTTACATGTCTTTTTGTCTTGTTTCTGACGACGTCTTTTGTGACTCAGTCGGCTCTAGCCTTGCTGTCTCTAGCTCTAGCCTTAATGTCATCGACTATATGCTAAGTTGGGTTTGGCCTCATTGGCCGAATGAACAGGCCTCCTATTATTTTTTTATCAGGTCTTCCTTCATCGTATTCGTTTCCCTCCTCATATTTTTGATATAGAATATTATTTTTCCATGTAACTTGGGGACAATGATGAACTCGGATCCAAAATGGCACGTTGCAGTCCTTTTCATCCTAATCGTCCAATTAAGCCCGGCGAGCACACTGATCTAACAATAATGACGATTAATAAACACATACGAGCTCAAATTTCATCCAATAACCACAAATATTGAAGATAATCACATAACCACAAATATTGAAGACAACATGACACGTGGCACATAATTAGTGGCTAAAAATTATTTCTCCCAAATTGAAATATCCAATTTAGAACTTCTCCATTCTAAATGAAATCTCCCGTTCGGAACCGTCACTCGAACAACTCTTCGATCAATTTAGGTACCGTGGAGTTCACCGCCGTCGTACCGCCGTCGACGACGAGGTTATGCCCGCTTATAAAACCCGACTCGTCGGAAGCCAAGAATAACACCGCCGCCGCCACGTCCTCCGCCCTCAACACCTTCCCTTTCAGATTCGCCGCCGCGCACGAAATCTCTTCCATTTTCGCTGACTCCAACCCTAACGCCGTGCAGGACATCGGCGTCGCCAGATAAAACGGCGAAACGCAATTGACCCTCACCCCTTTCTCACCGAGCTCCGCTGCTGCCGCCTTCGCAAGCCCCAAAACCGCGTGTTTTGCAGCCGTGTAGGCCGCCGGAGTGAGCCCACCGAATATCGCCGCGACACTTGCCGTGCAGATGATCGAACCCCTCGTCCCCGCCGCCACCATCGCCCGCCCGGCGTGCTTGATGGCCAACGCGGCGCCACGAACGTGGACGGCGAGCACGTCGTCCAAATCAGCGGGATCGAGGTCTAGGATGGCGCTGGTTTTGCCGGCCACACCGGCGTTGCTGAAGAAGATGTCGAGGCGGCCGTAGGTGGCGACGGCGAGGTCGACGGCGGCGGCGAGGTGGAGTTCATCGCGGACGTCGCAGTGGACGAAGGTGCAGCGACCGGGGGGTGGGATGGAGCCGGCGACGAGCTGGCCTAGGGAATCGTTTATGTCGGCGATGAGGACTGCGGCACCGTTGGAGGCGAAGAGGCGGGCGGTTGCTTCGCCGATGCCGCTGGATCCGCCAGTTATGATGGCTACCTTCCCCTCCAGCCTCAGCTTGTCAGAAGTCATGAGATCTCTCTGTTTCTTTCTGTTTCTCGGCTATTGCGGTGATCAATGGCCAAAGCTTCACTGTTATATAGAGCAGGGGAGGCGCTTCCCATAAAATGTCACCGGAAGGACCGGTAAAGTTTTCACCGCATGCCGAGATGCGAGATGCATGTGGTGTCTGATCCTGATCGTACATCACAGTAATCTACGGTCAGGATGTATTCTGGTAGACCCCACTTTAATTTTTTTTATTTTTCAAAAAAAAACTTGATTGCATCCTGACCGTAAATCACCGTGATCTACGGTCAGGATCTTACACCACATACATCTCTGTATGCGGTGTATATATACAATAATTTTTCATCGAAAGGACCAAAAAATAATTAACTTTCGATGTTTTTTTTATTTTATTTCCGCAAGGAATTCTACACAAATGGCCAGCCTGCAACCGAAATATTTTATGAAAAAAAAATTACGTACAATCCACATTAATTTTATATATTTACTAAAATAATATCTAAATTTTAAGTTTTATATTTGTAACATTTAATGTATATTTATATTAATTTTTTAAAGTTAATAATAAAAATAATGTTTATGTGATTTATAAATTTTAATTGTTATAAATGGAAAAATTAAAATTTAAGTAGTAAACATATAAATCTACTAAAATTATGTGATAATTATATTAATAATGTATGCATGGAAATCTATTAAAACTATGTGATACTCCTGAAAATGCTTGAAAAATGAAGGGTTAGATAGCAGAATGCAGCGACGAAAAAACAAAATACACTTCTTGTCACCAAAACAAATAATTAATCAAAGTGAAATGCCAAGGTACACTTCTTGTCACTAAAATAAATAATTAATCAAATAAATATCACATTTAATTCTATAAATAATAAGTCATAATTCTAAAATTAAGTAGATTTATAAATTTGAATCGTGTTGAGTAAAAGATAATAATAATGTTTAGGTTTAATTGTGGAGCAAATACTGTGTCCGCTCTCCATTCCAAGTCCTCTATTTTTATCTTTCTGTGAATCAGAGTTGCACACGTAGTTGTGTGGGCACACACGTAATATTTTTCCCTGACTGTGGGGATCGCACGCAAGTTAGATAAAGCTTTTAAAAAGATGAGAAGAATCATAATTTTTTTGTAAAGAACTGTGATGAAACATAGTCTCAAAGAGAGAAAAAAAAGATCCCTCACATGACCTCCTTTATTATAGGGCAGGCTCCCCACAGAAGTGCATACATGGGCTTCACCTACAAAGTAAATACAACAAAATAAGAGTATCATGTAGTTGTTTGTAAAGTGTATTATAAACAATGGTGTTATTCGTAATAAGACAGGTGGAATAGGTTACCATATATTATCTATGAGGTATACTATAAGGGTATGTAAGGTAATTAGCCCTCTCTAGAGACTTCTATTATTCTTTATCAATGGGGTAATGTATGGACTGGTTTTACTGTGATGGATTAAAAGATTCCTATTAGGTTTTTCTCTCTTGCTATCTTCTTTGCATTCTCCTTTAGGTTTCTCTTCTTCCTTCCAATGTCTACATGGTATCTAAGCTTCAAGCTCAAGTCCCTACGAGCTTCTCTACCGATCTGACGTGACACTCGTTTAGGTGCAAAATTGATCGCCTTTGCGACCTGAGCACTCGATTGGCTCAAACTAGACAAGGATCGATCAGTCTCCTCTACTTGGGCTATTTTTGGTAATATCTATAGGGATGTCTACCTTACAAATTTTAGAAAACTTCAATCCATCGCCAAAAGAGTTGATTACCTCAATCTCTATCCCTACTCTCAAATTTCTAATGAGCAACCTAAATCGCCTTACTCAAAACCCCCGTCACCGCTGAAAAATTATTCTATAAGGAAGACTCAAGTTCTAAAGGTGTTCACTAAAAATGGGTACCTAGAGTTCCTGAATGGAATGTTAGAGGTAGAGTCAGGCCCGAATTCTCTCGCTCCCGTTCCCACTCGGTCGCTTCCTTCTTCCGCTTCCCTGTTGCCGATCACGATTCGTCGCAACCGCTCCCTCTCTTTCTATCGCAAGAGTCGCGTCCCAACTCTTGCGAACCGTTCCCGCCTTCCCTAATCGCTAAATGACGCCGCCTCTCGTCTCCTTTAAGTTGTGAATAGAAGAGAAGAAAGTTTCTAAAACACGATTTTGAGTTCTTCTTCGGGCTTCCTCGGGAAAGAGGAAGAGTTATTTGGGTTTCCTTGGAATAGAGGAAGAGAAGTGCAAGGTGTAGTTCCTTTCGGTGAAGGAAGAAGAAAGAAGAAGAAGGAGATTATTCTCCCTTGGCTTCTTCTTGGTGCCTTGTGGCAGAAGAGAAATTGGATTTATTTCTCTTGTAAGTTTATATGTATCTCGGTGTAGAGAGAGAAGAACAGAGATAGAAAAGAGAGAGCAACAAAGTGAGAGATTTATGTTGTAAGTCATGGTGATCGATTGGTGTAAATTTATCAAGTAGTAAAATACTCTGCAACTCCGTGGATGTAGGCGATTTGCCAAACCACTTAAATCTGTGTATTCTGTTGTGGTGTTACTATTTTCTGGTGTGAATTTTTCTCATTCTATTTTTTGCTTAGTCAATCGTTCTTCGGTTTGATTTATATATATACCACAACAACTGATGTATGTCTCACAACAACTGGTCACAAAGCCCGTGGTTTTGGTTGAGGAAAGACAATGGTTGTAGATGAAGTGAAGGTTTCAGGGCTCGAGAAGTTTGATGGCACGAATTTTAGTTATCTTTTGGTTATTAGAGGTGCAGATAGAGAATTACCTCTATGGGAAGAAATTTCATCTTCCATTATTGGGGAAAAGACCTGAAAGGATGGATGAGATTGAATGGAATCTGTTGGATCGACAGGTTCTAGGGGTTATTCGATTGACCCTATCGAGGTCCGTTACACACAACGTCGTCAAGGAAAAGTCGATTGCAGATCTCATGATAGTCTTATCAGGTATGTATGAAAAGTCATCAGCGAAAAATAATGTATACTTGATGAAGAAGTTTTTTAATTTGAAGATGACGAAAGGTGTTTTTGTTGCTCAACACCTGAATGATTTCAATACTATCACAAATCAATTGTTGTCTATTGAACTTAACTTTAATGATGAGATATGTGCGATGATATTGTTGGCATTATTTCAAAATAGTTGGAAAACCATTAGGATGACAGTTAGTAATTTTGCAGGTAAATCTAAACTGAAATGTGATGATATTTGTGATTTGATTTTGACTGAGGAGATGCGCAGGAAGGAGGTGTGCAAAAAAGATTCTAGCGAGATCTCAGGTACGAGTTCGACACTGAATATTGATTTAAGAGGGAAATGACAGAACAAAAACTCAAATAAAGAGAGATCAAAATCAAAGTATGGTCAGTAGCCAACCTGCTAGAATTGTGGCAAGACTGGCCACATAAAGAGGAACTGCAGGAATAACAAGAATATGAAGAATGATAGCGCAAATGTGGTATTTGAAGAAGTACATCATACACTATTGCTGGCAATTCATAGTTTTCTTGATGATAAAAGTGAAGAGGAGAGTGGGTCCGGGGCACCCATTCCTATTGTTCCACAAACAGATGGTAGAGAACCACAAAGCTTTGAAGAAATCTTACAAGAGGAAAGTTCGAGCAAGTGCGAGCTGACAAAACTTCCACTATGGAAGAAGACATTACACAACAAGTGGGTGTACCAGGTAAAGACTGTGTTTGATGGTAGTAAGAGGTATATGACTAAACTTGTTGAAAAAGACTTTCAGCAGGGGTCAGATATTGCCCATACAGTGGGAGTTGTAAGTAGAGAAAAGAGTATTCTAGGGAATAGCTTGTAGGTGCAAATCTATGTTGACCCTACTGATATGTTGACTGAGGGTGTTACTCTTGAGAAACTGAAGTTGTTCGGTCTTCTAGAGCAAAGACATGGCTTTGAGTTGCAGAGGTGGACGATTCATGTTTGAAGAAAAGGGTGACACTGCCAGTGGAGGATATCAGTTTGAGGAAGGAGATGTTGTTGCCTATGTACCAGTCTCCAAGTGAGACTTGTTAGAGGTGGAACCCGATCCGACCTCTCTCGCCCCGTCGCTTCCCGCTTCTGCCTCCCTGTTTTTTATTGTGATTCGTCGCGACCGTTCCCTCTCTTCTGATCTCAAGAGTTGCATCCCAGCTCCTGCAAACCATTCCCGCCTTCCCTGTTTTGTGAAACAATGCAGTCTACCGTCTCTTTTAAGCTATGAACAGAAGAGAAGAAAGTTTCTAAGTCACGATTTTTTAGTTCTTCTTCGGGCTTCCTCGGGATAGAGGAAGAGTTATTCGGTTTTCCTAGGGATAAAGGAAGAGAAGTGCAAAGTATAGTTCCTTGTGGTGAAGGAAGAAGAAAGAAGAAGAAGAATATTGTTCTCCCTTGGCTTCTTCTTGGTGTCTTGAGGAAGAAGAGAAATTGGATTTTTTTCTCTTTTAAGTTTATCTTCTTCAGTGTATCTTGGTATAGAGTTTTTTCGGTGTATATCGGTGTAGAGGTGTATATTTTCGGTGTATATCGGTGTAGAGAGAGAAGAACAGAGAGCAATGAAGTGAGAGATTCCTCTTGTAAGCCTAGGTGATCGACTGGTATAAATTCCTCAGGTAGTAAAATATTATGCAGCTCCGTGGACGTAGGTAATTTGCCGAACCACGTAAATTTGTGTGTTCCGCTATGGTGTTACTGTTTTCTAGTGTGAATTTTTCTCGTTCTAATTTTCTCTTCGTCGATCGTTCTCCTGTTTGATTTATATATATACCACAACAATTAGTGGTATATCTCGCAACATACAAGCTCTCCTTGCCTATCACAATTTCTGATTTAGTGGTTGATTCACATGTTTGCAATTCATGATATACCTCCAAGATTTTGATTGTTCAAAACCTTACAACAATACTTTAAACTATCATGTCTACACCGAGTCTTCCTTATGTGTCGCATCTTTCATTGACTGTTGAGATTTAGCATGCTATTTCTAAGAGATTGCAACCAACAAACCGCTCGAGGCTCATCCATTTGAAGAACTCCCTTCATACCATCTCAACGAACA